AAATTTAGACATTTTTAAAGACTTATTTATTTATTCATTTGAAAGACAGACTTAGAAAGAGGGAGAGGCAGAGAGGTCTTCCATCCACTGGTTCACTCCCCAAATGGCCACAATGGCCAGGGCTGCAACAGATCAAAGCTAGGAGCCTGGAGCTTCTTCCAAGTCTCCCACATGAGTGCAGGGGCCCAAGCTTTCCCAAGCTTTCTAGCAGGGAGCTGGATTGGAAATGGAGCACCTGGGACTCAGACCATCACCCATATGGGATGCCAGCATCGCAGGCAATAGTAAGCTGTGCCACAACACCAGTCCCATAAATATTAAATATAGCAAAGAAGACCTGGGTACAGGTCCAAGCACTTGGGCCATCTTCCACTGCTTTCCCAGGGCATAGCAGAGAAATTGATCGGAAGAGGAGTAGCTGGGACTAGAACCGGTGCCCCTATGGGATGCTGGCACTTCAGGCCAGGGCTCTAACCCTCTGTGCCACAGCACTGGCCCTGCTCCTGGCTCTTGGTTTCAGTCTGGCCCACTGTTCCAGAGAAATTTGCCTGGGGAATGAGCTTCAGACAACCAAAATGATGGAGAGAGATGCTGACATAACGGACTGGTAGCAAGCATTCAATGTATAGTTATTTACAGAACTAAGACTAAAAGACTCTTCAGAGGGGAAGCGTTGAGTATGTGATGCCTGTGAGCCTAGATAAAGTAAAAATATGGCACAGTTTCTCTTTAAATGAGGAAAACATATGCAAAAATTATCCGTTCTCAGTAGTTTATGTTGGTGGTCATGTGTGTAATATGAGATAATGTAAATGAGTACTTATGAGATAATCTAATGCTGTCCTTTTAGTGTGGAAGAATACAGATGTAATTCAGAAGAGTTTAGGTTAAAAAAAAACAAAGCCTGTAATCCTGAATACAAACTCATGAAAAATTTTATTTAAAATTAAGTACCTATACATACACACATACACATACCCTTTACTGTATTCACTAAAAAGGCTTAGAAACAAGGGCCAGCCCAGAAGCCTTGAGATACCTGGTAACCAGATTGTGGTATAGAACTACTATCCCCAGTCAAAGAATCCATCATGTGAGAAATAGCTCATCTCAGTCTGGGGCAGGAGATATACAAAAGGAACTTGGAACATCTTTTCATACATGAAGCTTTTCAGAGACTACTAGGGTCATATCAAAAGGATGTCAGAGCCAATTTGAAGATGTTTCGACTGGCCTCTTTGGCTTCCAAAAGGCTAATTTGACAGTAGGAGTGAGTATATATCCAGCACTCAAATCTTGCTTTCGGATACCATCGTCCAATAAAAGAACCGAAGGTTTTTAGAGGCGTGCCTGATTCTAGGAGATGTTGGATTTAAGAGTGTCACCTTTCTGAAACCTTCCAGTAAATTAATGGATCTAGGCAGTGAGCATCCATAGATGCTAACATCACAGCCAGTGAAACAAAACAGATAGCACTTGCCTCCTGCTAAGGGAGGCAGCAGCACCTGTGATCATGCCAATAAATGAGACCTGAGGTAGAGCAAGCCTCTGTATCCAGTTGGCAGTCTGCAGGAAGTGCAGGAGGACATGTCAGACCACACCATCAATACGCAATCAGCAAAATCCAAGCTTGGACACACTCCACAGGGCAAATGCCTCAGCTTCAATAGATGATAACTTGAAAAGGAAGGAAAGGGATGGAGATAGAACTCATAGATTTTAAAAGATACCAAAGTATTTTTTTAATATGTCAAAGGTAGAGCAAGAGAGAGGGAGAGAAAGAAACAGATCTTCTATCCACTGGTTTATTTCCCAAATGGCCATAACAACCTGGGCTGGCCCAGGCCGAAGCCAGGAGCCAGGAACTTCATCAGGTCTCCCATGTGGGTAGCAGAGGCCCAAGCACTTGGACCATCCTCTGCTATTTCCCAGGCACATTAGCAGGGAGCTGGATCAGAAGTAGAGCAGCTGGCACTTGAACTGGCCCTCGAATAGGGATACCAGCATCGCAAGTCGCAACTTGCACCACAACATTAGCTCCCCAGAATGTTTTTAAATAGAGAAGACTGACCTCAAAACCATGATGCTCAGTAAAAGAAATCAGCTACAAAAGACTACATTTGTATGGAATGTCCAGACTAGGCAAACCTATCAAGACAAGAGAATACATTAATGGCCCCAGGAGCTGTGGAACTGGAAGGAATGGGAATTAACTGTAAATGGGCACCAGGAATCTTTGGGGGTGATAGAATTTCTTAACTGTATTGTGGTGGTGGTTGCATAATTCTGTATCAAAATTATTGAGGTTAAAAAAATGTATGGGGTTGGCGTTTGGCCCAGTGATTAAGATGCCCTAGGCCCATATCAGAGTGCCTAGGTTTGAGACCCAGCTCCTGCCCATTCCAGCTTCCTGTTAATGTGCACCCTGGGAGGTAGCAGGTGGTAACTCAAGTAGCTGGGTTCCTGCCACCAACCTGTGCTACCTGGGTTGACTTCCCGGATCCCAGCCTGGCACGGCTCTGGGTGTTGCAGGCATCTAGGAAGTGAACTGGTGGATGGGAGATTGATTCTCTCTCTGTATGTGTGTGTGTGCGGGTGTGTGTATGTGCATGTGCATGCATGCACACCTCTTAAATGTTTCCATGAATATGCAACTAGGCAACTATGGTATTTAGGGATGCACACTTGGGTAATAAACTCGAGTAAGTTACTATAAATACTATAGTGGTTGTGATTTGCATGATGCCTATGGAGAGCTTTTGGTGATAGGTACATAGAAGATCAATTTCTTGACCCAAGTAGACACTGTAATATCTCCTTTTAAAAATCTGTCCTTATAAATACACACATATCCATCTCTTTATGTAGTTTCTAGTATATTTTATTTTACAATAAAGAGATTTTTTTTCTTTGTCTTTTAAGATTTATTTATTTGAAAGGTGGAATTGGACAGGAGGAAAGAGAGAGATCTTCCATCTGCTGGTTCATTCCCCAAATGACCACAACGGCCAGGGCTGTGCCATACTGAAGCCTGGAGCATCTTCTGAGTCCCCAATGTGGTTGGAGGGACCCAAGCACTTGGGCCATTTTCCACTTTCCCAAACACATTAGCAGGGAGCTGGATTGAAAGTGTGAAAGTGGAGCAGCCAGGATTCAATGCCCATAAGGGATGCCAGCATTATAGGCAGTGACTTAACCCACTACACCACATCCCTGGCCCCAGTAAAGGGATTTTAAAATCAGAAAAGAACACCAGCCTCCTAAGCTGTTAGAAGAGACCAGATCCCCATGTATTTCATTCTTTATCATAGTAATGAGAACATTTGAGAGGCCAGCATGTGGCACAGTGGAATAAGTGAAGTCCCAACTGCTCTGCTTCCAAGTCAGCTCCCCACTAATGTGCCTGAGAAAGCGCTGAAAGTGTGCTAAGTACATGGGTCCCTACCACCCACATGGGAGACTTGGATGCAATTCCGGGCTCCTGGCTGTGGCCTGGCCCAGCCCTGGCTATTGCAGCCATTTGGAGAGTGAACCAGCGGATGGAAGATTCTCCCCCCTCCCTCCCTCTCTACCTCCTTCCCTCCTCCCTCCCTTCCTCTGTGTGTGTGTGTGTGTGTGTGTGTGTGTGTGTGATTGTGCCTTTCAAATAAAATCTTTTATTAAAAAAAAAAAAACAAGTAGTGGGAATTTTTTTTTTTTTGACTGGCAGAGTGGACAGTGAGAGAGAGAAAGACAGAGAGAAAGGTCTTCCTTTTCTGTTGGTTCACCCCCAAATGGCCGCTGCAGCTGGCGCACTGCGCTGATCCGAAGCCAGGAGCCAGGTGCTTCTCCTGGTCTCCCATGGGGTGCAGGGCCCAAGCACCTGGGCCATCCTCCACTGCCTTCCTGGGCCACAGCAGAGAGCTGGCCTGGAAGAGGGGCAACCGGGACAGAATCCGGCACCCCAACCGGGACTAGAACCCGGTGTGCCAGCGCCACAGGCAGAGGATTAGCCTATCAAGCCACGGCGCCGGCCAGTAATGGGAAAATTTTAAAGGAAAAAATTAGTTAATGCCAAAGAGAGTTGATTTGGTTTTTGAGTGTACAGTGCACGACGATTACCATTTGGATCTTGGAACCTGTCCTAAGGACATGCAAAATGACACCAGCATAGGGGCTGGCACTGAGGCACTGTCTCCAGTGCCAGCATCCCATATGGGCTCCCATTCGAGTCCCAGCTGCTCCATTTCCCATCCAGCTCTCTGCTATGGCCTGAGAAAACAGTAGAAGATGGCCCAAGTCCTTGGGGCCCTGCACCCATATGGGAGACCCAGAAGAAGCTCCTGGCTCCTGGCTTCAGATCGGTTCAGCTCTAGCTATTGCCATCATTTGGGGAGTGAACCAGCGGATAGAAGACCTCTCTCTCTCTCTGCCTCTGCCTCTTCATAGCTCTGCCTTTCAAATAAACAAATACATCTTTTTAAAAAAATGACACAGACATTTTATTGTCTGTACTTCCAACTGCCCTGTGATTTTCAGGTTTGCATACACACACACGTATGTAAATTGTATGAGCATAATGAAGGAAATGGATAGAGAGGGAAAAGTCACTGGCAATCCTACCTCCCTGGCAATTCACAAATCGTGGCATCATAAATATTTGTTTTACTGTAGTGTTCTTGGATTGCTGGGGTCGGGGGGGTGGTGGTAGTTTGGTTTTGGGGGCAGGAGAGCATTGGCCATTTTAGCAAGAAACCTTCTCCAGAACAGAATCTGTTCTGAGTGGGCCACCTTTTATGTTTTGGGCTTCTTGCGGAAACCACTCAGTTATCCCATCCTTACTGTTACCTAATACGGAGCATGGGAGGTCATCTACGTGCTCCCCTGATGCTGGGCCCAGGACAGGCCGCAAGCAAGATGTCTGTGCTCGCCGTATGTGGTTGCGTGGAGCTGGGGCCCCTGACAGTGCTTATTAACACACTCTCTGTTTTTCACCCCCTCTTCTCATTGTCCCACTTCAGCTGAGTTCAAAAGAGCAGCTCAACAACAGGAAGACAAAGAACAAAATGAGGAAGAGGAGGACGAAAACACAATCCACCGAGCAAGGGAGTGGGATGACTGGAAGGACACCCATCCAAGGGGCTATGGAAACCGACAGAACATGGGCTAAGCTTCCCCTAACCGGATAGGACTGTAGAACGCACACCTTCCCGACCAAGGAAAACCACGCAATCTCCCCCCCCCCCCCCGGGCTCCTGCTTCAGCTGTGTACAACGAAGGCAAGGACAGTAAATCTTGCCTTGCGTTTAATAAAGTGTTGAATGATTAAATGTGTATTTGTACCCTAGATGACAAGCCATCTATCTTGTTTTTAGCATTATCATCTTCATCATGGTGTATTTCAATTTCTCAAGTGGAAGGAAAAGAGTACCGAGTAATGGCTCTGTATAATCAATTGCTGTGTGATTTCTCCCTGAAAAATAATAAAAATCCATTGTACTCTCTAAGCCTGCTTTGTTGAGGCCGGGTGGAGGGCGTGGCTGTGGGGTCTCAGGGTTTGCAGTGATCCTGGTCAACTGGGCAGGGAATGGCCCAGCATCAGAGCTGCCCCCACTTCTCCTTCCTCCTGGGCACATGACATAGGTGCCCTGGGAGCAACAGTGCAGGAGAGCCCAGGGACAGCACCAGGGCTTTCCCCAGCACATGGCACTATGAGCACTGTCTTCAGGAATGGCAGCCAGAAGTGAAGGACTGGAAAGGGTCAGGGCCTGCTTCAGAACCCAGCCTGTCTGCCTTTCCTTGTCTCGGCCAGGAGAATGAAAGATCTTGAGTATGAGGCGGCTTGTGTGTCTAGCAGAGGCCCAAGGTCTTTACTCTCAGGGAGAGATTTGTCATGACCTTGACTGCCACAGACCATCTTGGCCCTCCTGGCTCAATCTGAACTAGTGGGGGCTGGGATCACTGTGCCGTGGTAGTAGTGGTTCAGCCGTCTGGGGCGCGGGGAGGGGTGGGGGCTGCCATCGCACCAGCAACGGGATGCGGAGGTGGGGACAGCACACATGACACTGAAAAGTACTTCCTTTCTGGAGTAGAGAGAAGACTGTCCTCGGCTCTTGGATTGATAATCCTTTAAAAGCAGCCATGTATGGAAACAAACGGTCTGAACAGAAAACATTCTGTGGTTCTGTGGCCTCGGTACATTGCAGTTTTCTGCTAAGAGGAAGATGACTCAGCCCTCCTCTTCTAGCTTCTGCAGCCGAGCTGAGCAGAGGGATGGAGGAGACTCAGTTCCCTCTGGTTGCTAGGGTGGGAAGTGGAGGGCTGGCAGGCGATGAGGAGGAGGTGATGTTTCATGGGCGATGACAGCAAGAAGACTCCCAATAATCTATTTGTATACTGCTTAATACAGGATTCGCCTCACACCACAAGAGCAGACGAGACTCCCTAAGGATTTAGGAAGCAAACAGAACATGGCTCTCATCCTCCCATTGCCGCCAGGCTGCCTCGAGCAGTGGCCCGGTTGCTGTCCTTGAAAGCACCCCTGAGAGTTCCTTCCCCAAACTGACTCTCTTAGGTTCCTGCCGTGGTCCTGGCCCACGTGAGAATGGGCCTTCCACAGGGGCCAGCTTCACGAAGCCACTGCTCACATTCAGCTCTCTTAAGGAACAACCCATACAAGGTGTGGATTTGAATCCTGGCTTTAAAAATCCACAAGCTGTGTGACCTTGGGCAGTAAAACTTCCGGGAACTGCCTTTTCCTCCAAAAACGGAGAGGAGCTTGTTTCCTGGGGTGGTGAGAATTAGATGAGTAAGTGCTCTCTGCCACTATCAGCTCAATGACAGCAGTCTGTCCACCTGAAGGGGAAGGAAATGGACAGGCACTTTCCCATACTTTTTTTTTAATAGGATTTATTTATTTATTTGAAAGGCAGCGTTATGGAGTAGAGGCAGAGAGGGAGAGAAGAGAGGTCCTCCATCTGCTGGTTCACTCCCCAGATGGCTGCAATGGCCAGAGCTGTGCTGATCCGAAGCCAGGAGCCAGGAGCTTCTTCTGAGTCTCCCACTTGGATGCAGGGGCCTAAGGACTTGGGCCATCTTCTGCTGCTTTCCCAGGTCATAGCAGAGAGCTGGATCAGAAGTGGAGCAGCCGGGACTTGAACTGGTGCCCGCCCATATGGGATGCCGGCACTGCAGGCTGCAGCTTTAACCACTATGCCACTGTGCTGGCCCCTCCCATAGTGTTAATACTCAGATGATCTTGCCAAATAAACAATGTTGTCCCCGTTTTACAGATGAAAACGCAGGCCCAGAGAAGCTGGGTGACTGCCTCAGGTTGCAGGATACTACGCTGCTGTCATTTTCCCTCTGCTTGCTCATTGCTTAAAAGAGGGAGCTGCTTTAAAAAAAAAAATCTAAACTCACACCACTTCTACATCACTGAAGCGCTAGAAATTCCTTCTCAGCTGACTCATCTGAGAAAAGGTTAGGCCAGCTCCCCCACTCCCCGCCACTGCCCCCTATGCTGGGGGGTAAGAAGACAGAGGCAGTGAACAAGCCCATCTTCCTCCATTTGTCTCCCCTTCTGTCTGCCTGTCTGCCCCAGAAACCCGAAAAATCACAGCCTGCTGTACTCCCATGGGAGCCAGGCCTCTCAGGGTCCTAGAGGGAGCTGGGTTTTGTGGACTCCCAGAAGAGAGGAGTCCTTAAAGCTTTCACATTGCTTCGTAGTTTGTAAAACATTTTCTGGCGCTGCAGCTCACTAGGCTAATCCTCTGCCTACAGTGCTGGCACACCGGGTTCTAGTCCCGGTTGGGGCGCCGGATTCTGTCCCGGTTGCTCCTCTTCCAGGCTAGCTCTCTGCTGTGGCCCGGGAAGGCAGTGGAGGATGGCCCAAGTGCTTGGGTTGGGCCCTGCACCCCATGGGAGACCAAGAGGAAGCACCTGGCTCCTGGCTTCGGATCGGCACAGCACACTGGCCATAGCGGCCATTTGGAGGATGAACCAACGGATGGAAGACCTTTCTCTCTGTCTGTCTCTCTCTCTCACTGTCTAACTCTTCCTGTCAGAGAGAGAGAGAGAGAGAGAGAGAGAGAGAGACCTGGATGGAGTTCTAGGCTCCTGGCTTCGACCTGGCTGGCCCAGACTTGCCTATGGCAACTATTTGGGGAGTGAACCAGCGATGGAAGCGCGTGCTCGCTCTCTCTCTCTCTCTCTCTCTCTTTCTCTCTTTCTCTCTTTCTCTCTTTCTTTCTCTCTCTCTCTTTTTCTCTCTTTCTCTCTTTCTCTTTCTCTCTCTCCCTTTCAAATAAATAAGTAAATCTTTTCTAAAATGTCTCAATTTGGGGGGGGGGGGCTCTACCACTTCCAAGCTAGGTGACCCTAGGCAACGACTTCACAACTGCCACTGAAAGCAACTTGAAAAGGGAGAACCTTCTGAACCTGAGCTCTCTCTGCCCTTGCTGCGTCCTCTCATCTCCGCAGTCCTCCTTCCGTTCCCTTTGGGCAGCAGGTTGCTCATTAGCAGGACAGACACATTGCCACCCGGCAGCAATCCTGCATTGTTCCCGCTGTCTCCTTGCCTAACGACGCTCCCCACCACCTGCAGCACCATTTCCTCACAGATTCTGTTCAACCCTCTTAGCCACAGGGCAGCTCAGCCTGGCACACAGATCACTCCTGCTCACTTGTGGGCCAGGCTCTCACCATCTCAGCCCCTCCAAGATGCAACCAGCGCCCACCCCACTTCCATCACAGGCCAAAGTGAGGAGCCAAAGAAATCCAATGCGCGAAAGCGCTTTGAACAACTATAAAATGCAACCCAAGGGTTGAGGAGGAACAGTCATAGGCTATTGGGAAGCTAAGGGGACAGAGGAGGGAGTGCTTTAAAAAAATCATGTCATGACTGCAGTACTATCTTTATCTTCTATATATCACCACCAGCCAAAGGTTGTGACATGCTTTCCTTCAATTTCACTTTCTTGTCCCATCTGGCAACAAAGCCCTCAAAGAGATTATAATTGAGCAACGTTTTGGGCCAGGCTAGTCCAATGGGATGGCAGGAGTGAAAACAAAAGCTACTATTATATACTAACACCTTCACATACAGTATTTCTAACCCTCACAACATCCCATGGAATATTTGATTATAGCTTCAGTTTGTACATGAGGAAATTGAAGCTTTGAGAAGTTATTTTTTTTTTCTGGACTGGCGCTGTGGTGCAGTGGGTTAAAGCCATGGCCTGCAGCGCCGGCATTCCATATGGACACCAGTTCAAGTCCCAGCTGCTCCACTTCTGAACCAGCTCCCTGTTAATGTACCTAGAAAGCCAGCAGAAGATGTTCCAAGTGGTTGAGCCCCTGCCACCCACATAGGAGACCAGGATGAAGCTCCTGGCTCCTGGCTTCAGTCTGGACCAGCCCCAGCCATTGCAGTCACTTGGGGAGTGAACCAGCAGATGGAAGACTTGTCTCTCTGTGTCTCTTCTTCTCTTTCTGTCTGTAGCTCTTCCTTTCAAACAAAATAAATATTTTATGAAATATCTACTTATTTATTTGAAAGGCAGAGTCACAGAGAGGGAGAAACAGAGGCAGAGAGAGAGAGAGAGAGATCTTCCATCTGCTGGTTCACTTCCCAATCAGCCTCAATGACCAAAGCTGGGCCAGGCTGAAGCCAGGAGCCAGGAGCTTCTTCTGAGTCTCCCACATGGGTGCATGAGTCCAAACACTTGGGCCATCCTCTGCTGCCTTCCCAGGTGCATTAGCAGGGAGCTGGATGGAAAATAAAGCAGCTGGAGCCTGAATCAATGCTCATATGGGATGTCAACACTGCTGGTGGTGGCTTAACTCTCTATGCCACAACACTGGCATCTCATAACTATTTTTTACTTATTTTATTTATTTGAAAGGCAGAGTTACAGAGAGGCAGGGTGGGGGGAGAAAGGGAGAAGAGAGAGACAGAGGTATTCCATCTGCTGGTTCACTCCCCAAATGGCCACAATGGCCAGAGCTGGGCCAATCCGAAGCCAGGAACCAGGAGCTTCTTCCAGGTCTTCCATGCGGGTGCAGGGACCCAAGCACTTGGGCCATCTTCTGCTGCTTTTCCAGGCCACAGCAGAGAGCTGGGTAGGAAGTGGAGCAGCCGGGACTCGAATGGGTGCCCATATGGGATGCCGGCACTGAGGCAGCAGCTTTACCCACTATGCCGCAGTGCTGGCCTCTTCTATATCTATTTCTTGAAAAGAGAGAGAGAAGTGATTTTTCAAAGATCACTCAGTTCTAAGTGGCCAGGCTGAGCCAGGATTCCAGGAGGTTGGCTTGATCCCAAAAGCCCTGGTTTCTAGCTGGCCACTCTGTGTCTCCAAGAAACACAAAGCACGGGAGACAGCTGGGTGAAGGTGGTGCCTACCTCCTGTGGCAACTGCTCCAGGGACAACCCCTCCCCCGACTTCTCTCGTCATGTTTTTAGCTGCAATTCCCCCAGCTTTGTCTGTGGAGCCCTGTAGGGACA